AGTTAGCTTTATTAACAAAAAATAATAAAAGCAACTAGTTGTTCACCATTTTTCTAATACTATTCTTGAGATTACAATTGAGTAATATATTTTTTATATTATAATAAAAAAATTTCTTAGTAAAAATCCATTAACAATATTAACAGGTTAATATATATTTTTAATTATTTAAATATATATAGATATACAACATATAACAATATTATATTATAATACAGATATGCAATTTGAAATAGATTCATTGAGACAATGTATTTCTAAACTTGAGATTGAGAATATTATAATTCCAAAATTTAGAGAGTTGTTGAGCTTGAGACTGAGAATACAGAAATTTCAGTACTTAAAAAGAAGATTATTGAAGTTGAAGCAAAACTAGTAATATTAAAACAGAAACTATTACAAAATGATAATACTTCTAACAATAGTGTTTCTAATGATAATATATTTAACTTAATTTGATTACAGATTATGAAGAACTATTGAAAAATAGAAAGACTAACGATTTCTTGAATAAGGTTTATAAGAAAAAAATTGATGATATTAAACAATGCAATTAAAAAAAGAAACTATAGCATAAATCAGCTGACTAGGACAATATTTCTAATACTAAATATGTAATAGAAATTGTTAATAATGTTAAGAAGTTATATCAGTTAGAGTTTGACAATTGTATTTCCTTAGAATTATCTTACAGAACAAAAATTGTTGTAAATATCCCAAAGAACAAACCTAAAAAAGTATTGCAAATTTCTCAACTTTATCACGTAATATAAACCCTGTTAATAAAGTTAACAAGTTTTTCAAAAATTTGAAATTATTATATAAGAAAGAAATTGTTATCAATATTTCACTTATCTTCTACTTGGAGAGTTGCTAGTAAAACTGGTAAAACTTGGTAAAACTTGATAAAACTAGTGACTATCTAAAATTTGATTGGCTATTAAATACAATAGCCAATTAGATTTTAGATAGCTACTAGTTCATCAATGTAATTTAGTTTCACCTACAGCTCTAATAGAAACAAAAATAGGTACAGAAAGATTGAAGAATGAAAAAAGGTTCTAAAGAGACCAACCATCTCATCAGATTTTTTTGATAGCTTACCACTAGCCAAGAATAATGTAAATGATAAACTTTCTCAAATATAGCTACCAAATTCGTACAGAATTTGTTGCAAGAGAATTATTTTCACCAGATGGTCAACTTTAAGCTATAAAGTTTTTACTACTCAGAACTCTAATTTTTAAACCAATAAATATCAAAAAACTTGCTAATTCATTCTGCCAAGTGAATGTTACAAGAGAAAAATGATCATAGCAAAGTGAGCAGAAATCACAGCCTGGTATTTATTCTCTGAAAGGTTCAAAGATAAAGTTATAGAGTTTAGTCTAATAATAAGTATAGCAGATTTTTATTGTGATTAGCTAATTTTTAAAGATTATCTTATCATAATAAAGTCTTATTAAAGTAATAATTTTCTGTCACAAGATTGAATTCTAAACAACAAATATGAATTCCTAGAAGGTAAGACAAAAAAAATTAAAAAGTTCGGGTCTTATTTATAAACTATCAAAATAATTTGGTAAACTGTAAGATAATTTGGAAGTTAGATAAGAGGTATGTTTAGATATTTCAATTTAACAAATATAACTTACAATATATTAAACTTGGTAAAATGATAATAATTTCAAACGATTTATATCGCTAATCTATTTTATTTATAACTTATTTACTATTCTAAAGACAGATATATACAGTCAGTAAAATAATTTAATAATATGAAGCAATGAAAATATAAGCTTGTGAACTTTATAAGAGATTAAAATATAGTATTATATTTAAGATTATTATAATGTAGTATTGTCCAAGATTATTAATTTAAGATTAATATTAAATTTATTTGGTATTAATTAACTATTATTATATTACAATTAAAATTTGTTTATATATTGCTTCTTATAATAAATAGATCATTTTTTTTGTACTTATTATTATTATTTTTATTTTAACTTGTATAAAAGTATTTTTTTTTAAAATAAGATCTTGGATTATTTAATTCTATTTGTATTAGAATAATAATCTTAGGCTCTAAGTTGTTAAATTTTATAGTAATTTATTTAATACAATTTAATTTTATATTTAGTTGTTATAGTAATTAGTTTTATATAAAATATTGCTTTGCAAACAATTTCGATTAACCAATAGTATTTTTGCAATATCACAAGATATTTGATCTAGAAATTTGGAACTCTTATATAAAAAATATAATATATTTACTTGATTAGTAAGATTACTATTTGATGACTTTTTTGTTTCTTGCTATTTCATTATCTATTACTATTGGACATAATCACAATATTGTTTTTTTTTTTTTTTAACGTCTACCCTCTTGGGAGCTGGGATTTTTATTTAAGTATATATAGCAAGGAGTTCTCTAG